GAAGAACTGGCAAGCCAGGCGCTCAGTGTGAGAGGCTGCAACCTGGAAGGAAACCACAGAGTGTGGCTGGGTGGACTTAGATAAAAGTTCAGTAACCTGCACAGCCTCAAGATCATGCGAGAAGGTCACTGCCACAACCATCGCCAATGGGTTAGCAGAGAAAATGACTTCCGTTCAGAATTTTAACAGGAAAAAAAAAAAAAAGCCTGGGCATGCCAAGTCATCTCCTAAAAATGAGATAACCCTGGAGGATAAACAATAGCCAAAGGAAGGAGAGAGACAGACAGCGTGATGCCCAGCCAACCACATAGCAGCAGCCACCTGAGGGAAGCCATCTTTGATGTTCCAGCCCAAGGAAAGACTGTCAGCGTGGGCAGTTGGTATTATCATTGGATGATGAAGAAACTCATGACTGGGGAGGCTAAGTGGTTTATCGGGGGTCACAGAGCTGGGGTTCTACTCCAGGTATCTCTATTCTAAACTTATCTCTTTCTGCCACAATGCTGTGGTCTACCCCTTGTCTCTCTCTCTCTGTGCGTGTAGGTTTAGTCTCATAAATTGTCATGTTGAAAATCATACTATACTCTTTTGCCCAGGGTTTGAACTCACTCACTGGTGTTATCACAATGAGCTTTGCTGGCCATCACTCTTGGAGGTGGTCCCCGCTTCCCTCTCTCAAGACTTGCGGGCCACTGCATTTGGGTGTCATAACGACCTGAAACGAGCAGTAACTGCTCTGTGTTGGTGAGAGACAAACACGGAGCGGGAATTTATTTGGTTGCAAGAGGATTATTGATATAGCAGCTTCCCTGTTAACGTTTTTCTGAGCTATCACCACCTCAACAGTAGACATCTAATTCAAATAAGGTAGATTACTAAAAAATTGGTAAATGTCCTCAAGCAGACTTCAAAAAGTAAGTAAAATATTAAACATTAGAGATGAAAGTTAAAAGCAAAACTAAAATCCAACTAACCCCACAAAGACGTCCATGAATGTGAAACATAAAGTCCAACATCATGAAAGAATCCAGAACAGGAGATCATGACAGCTTCAAGGCACTAGGAAGATCAGATCTTTACATGAAAGCATAATCTTAAAGTTGATTTAAAAATACTAGGAAGCAATCTTCAGGCACCAGAGATGATTTTTAAATAAGAAAAAGAAAACTTTTCCACTTGCAAAATATAGCTTAAATACCATTGACTTTTAATAAAGATTTGAAAGCACATATGAACTGGGCAGTTAAGATAAAGATGGGTGTTTAATAGACCAGAAAGCATTTTGTGAGGCAGAAGAATAAAACCAAAATTTAACGGAATGTGTGACCAGTGAATTTAGCTTTGAGTTTCCTGGCAACCTAAGCAAAAAATAGAACATATGAGAACCTCACCATTCTTGTTTTAGAGCAGCATTCTCAGTAAGGCAGTATCACCTGCAAAGGGTGAAAACTAGTTCTTGGGGGCCAGAAAAACCTTACCCTTTTAATGTAAAAAGCATAAATGTACGTAAAGTATATAATAGATATACAGGATATCTGCAGTATTAAAATTTTATGATAGGGTACAAATATTGAAGAATATTGAATATACCACGGACTGCCAGAAGAACAAACAAATCTGTCTTGGAAGAAGTACAGCCAGAATGCTCCTTAGAAGCAAGGATGGCAAGACTATGTCTCACATTCTTTGGACATGTTACCAGGAGGGACCAATACCTGGAGAAGGACAACATGCTTGGTAAATTTGAAGGTTAGAGAAAAAGAGGGTGACCCTCAACGAGATGGACTGACACAGTGGCTGCAACAATTGTGAGGATGGCGCAGGACCGGGCAGTGTTTCGTTCGGTTGTACATACCGTTGCTATGAGTCGGAACTGACTCGACAGCATCTAACAACATGATTAGAATAAAATGTTTAAAAAGCCTCCTTGGGTGACAATAATGAAAAAAAATAGTGGAGAAACACTACTTCACAGCAGAAGGAATATATCATTGTATCAGGTAAGGCAAAAGGAGCCTGGTGGTGCAACGGTTAAGTGCTCAGCCGCTAACCACAAGGTGATCTGCTTTTGTAAAGATTACAGCCTAGGAGACCCTATAGGGCAGTTCTTCTCCATCACATGGGGTTGCCATGAGTTGGAATTGACTTGATGGCACCCAAGACCGCCACCCACTAGGACCTGCTCCAGAAGGAAAGTATCGTGAAGACTTTTGATGACATAGAGGTCAGTTTCTTCCTGATTATGGTTCTGCAGTCCACCCTTGATTTAAAATGATGAGGACATCCTGTGTCCCCTCCTAACTCTGTGTTCTCTGTGTACTTATCAGCTGTCAGTGGTGTGGGGTGTGGGGTGGGGTTCCAGCTGGAGGTGTGCTGTGTGGAGATTGCCCTGGGAGACTCTCGGGAGGAGGCCATGATGCCGTGGAGAACTAGAACCTAGATGCCATTCTAGAAAGCTGCCATTTTCTATAGGGCGGCACTATGCTTACAGTTTGGGCTACAGCTGTTGCCAGGTGAAATGCTAGCCACTGAAAACTCCTGCACAGTCCGGGCCGGGCCCTCCCTTGTCTCTCAGGTGGGCATGCTTATTTTAGGAGGGTGGATAATGCCCAGTTCTTAACATGCTCAATGGAGGATGACTATTTATCTTGCTGAAAGAGTAAGGATTCATGGAGGAAAAAAAATTCCATGTTCACATGTGTCTTAAGTTTCTTGGTGGTGGACTGGATATTTACAACAAATACGAGGAAGTTGGGGGCAGCTGTGGAAGAAAGAGTGAAAGGAAGATCCTCAGGGCTGTTTGGTTGCCAGCAGCCTCCTCCTGCTGTGAGGGACAGCGCCTCTGGAAAGAACTCGGGTGACAGAGCTTTGCGCTCTTTGTTTCTGGTCACCTTTGATGCAGCCCGGCAGGACCCAGAGAAAGCTCTGGAGTCTTGATGCCTCCCAAATTAAGTCACTTACCGCTCCAAAGCCCTCTCTCAGATTCGTAGCAGAAAAGGAAGGCTAAGAGGAGGCATAAATGACATGCTGCTAGGAGGCCCTCCAGGTTGGGTTAAAGGGAGAAAGCTCAGAGGGCCCTCAGCTCTGCCTGCGCTGGTCCCTGTGCGTGTGCAGACACATCCAGAGACGCGGGTGCTGCTAGCTGGAGTCCCTGGTGGTGTAAATGGTTAACGCGCCTGGCTGCTAACTGAAACGCTGAAAGTTGGAATCTACCCAGAGGCGCCTTGGAAAAGGCCTGGCGACCTATTTCTGAAAAATCAGCCTATGGAGCACAGTTCTACTCCAACACACATGGGGTCACCACGAGTCGGACTCAACTTGGCGGCAACTGGTATCTGGGATCCAAATGAGAGACAATTAAATGAGCAATGATTAAAAACTATGTTTGAGAAAGATGTGTCCATGTATAAATGTGTATCTTTAAGAAGGAAGAATAGAAGCAGCAGCATTTGTACAGGCAATCCCCGGGTGAGGACTGTTCGAGCTCTGGTCACTTGTACTTGCCCTCATTTTGGAAGGACTGAACCAACCCCTCCAAACCACCAAACCCGTTGCCTTGGAGTGGATTTCGACTCATAGCGACCCTATAGGACAGAGTAGAACTGCCCCATAGGGTTTCCAAGGAGCAGCTGGTGGATTCAAACTGCCGACTTTCTGGTTAGCAGCCGAGCTCTTAACCACTGCGCCACCAGGGGTCCGAGCCAACCACTGCTCGCAACAACTTCTTTATCACAATCATGTTCACTTGCTGCACGTGTAACTTTTAAATCACTGAAAAGGCTTGCAGCCTCTTCTTGCACTAAGGTATTGTAACGCTACAGAAAAACGGTATGCACCTGTTACGACTCACCTGCAAAACGGACTTAAAGACACTATTAGAAACGGAGCTTGTTTGTAACCCAGGGACTGCCTGCATTTTACGGGAAAGGATAAAAACGTATGCCAGACACTCTGAGTCTTTTTAAATAACATTTTATTTTTCACTGTCCATGATTAACTTCTGAGCCTACTATAGGAGTATCATGATTATAGTGAATAAAAAAATATAGACGATAGGATAAAAATATTAGGTTATACAAAGTTAGTTTTTGAAATCATTGTCCAACAGTTTCAGGACTTTGGAACTTTTACATTTCCAGCAGTTAAAAAAATTAAGAGCACATATGGAGAATCATTTGTGGATGCCTATTTCAATAAAAGGAAGGACCACAAAAATTAAAACAAGTTCTAAGAACCATCATATATACAAACTTCTGTACAGAATGAAGACAAAAAGAATTCACCCAATTAAAACCGTCTCTCACGGCATACAAATTCTGGTTTAACAAAGGAAGGAAATTTATCTTCCTACATGCATATTTCTTTTTTCCATTTGATCCAGTATTTTTAATGGTGTTGCCACTCCATAAATTAGTAACTGTTCAGTAGCTAAGGAATGTCCTATTTTAAATTATACTCGAAGAAATGAGGAACTTCCCTGAAAGGGTTGACCTTAATTGCCTGGTAGAGGCTGAAGATATAATCAACCAAGACAAAGTCACATGACCAGTTGCAATAAGGGGGATAATAAGCCATCCTGTGTGATTAAGCTGGGGTTCTGGCCAACAGCAAAGAGGAGGAGAATTCCTGCACTCAGTCACTACACAGCTTCTCCAGGGTGATGAGCTAACTTCCCCAACTTGGCTATACTCAGCTTCATTGAGCCCACTGATAATATAAGTCATTTGGCACAAGTAGAAAGGACTTTTAGGCAAGACTTCGGCTCTCCCAAGACTGACACTCTCAGAAGTGTCCGATTTTGACACACACAACCCCCCATCCCAGCTCCGGGCCAGCCCTGCTCCATGCTGCTAAAAAGGCTGCTCGCTCAATGGTCAGGAATGAACTCCTGTGAGGAAAACAGTGGCTCTGAATGTTAGACACAGCAGGCCCGAGGAAGTCAACACCAGACGCAGAGGATGACGCAGAGAGGGAGGGAAGACGAGGCACTCTTGCCGTGGTCACTGCACGATCCCAGAGTCCACCGACGTCTGCTTGCGAGTTGTCTTTGGGGGTGGAGGTGGAGGGGTTTTGCTGGGCAGTGGAGGTGGCTGATGCTAGAAAACATGAATATGAGGATGACATCATTACTGATGCTCTGACAAGAAGGACATGGCTCTTCAGGAAAGGTCTAACCCTAATCCGCACGCTGGCTGGACCTAAGTGACCCAGGATCCACTCTAACTCAGGCCCACAGCATGCTATACTCAGCACTGGGCTGCTGGCAGTGATGGGTTCTTTGGCATCTCTGATTAACCACTTTTTCACAGAAGTCCACCCAGCCCCCAAAAGTACAACTGCCGTGCTTTGCATGCTGTCTTAAATCAATATGCTACTGACCCCCAGACTCTACAAAAGAATCCTGATCAAAAGGGGGAAAATGTGGAACAGAATTTCAAATCTCATGGAATCCAGACTTCCTGGAGTCATTGGAGCTGGATGAACCCCCAAAACTACTGACCTGGGATAATCTTTAAACCTCAAACCAAAAATATTCCCTGAAGTCTTCTTTAAACCAAACACTGGTTTAGCTTAATTAGTAAAGAATGCTTGCCTTGAGCATTGTGCTTTTTTAAAGAACTATCTATATGGGATCAAACTGAAAACAGGAACTCGAAAGGTTAGATAGGAAGCTTGGGGGAGTGAGTTCATGTTAATGGGGGAGGAACAATTCGGAAAAGGAAGGTGAGCATGGTTACACAACTTGAAGAATGTAATACAATGTCACTGAATTGTACACATGGAAACTGTTGAATTTTATATGTTCTGCTGTGTATGTTTTCAGTAACAACAAAATAAAATAGATTGTTTAAAAAAAAAGATGCTATTGATCCCTAAATGTCTACCACCAGATGAACAGATAAACTAAACGTGATCTATCCATACAAGGGAGTATTACTTGGCCATAAAAAGGAATGAAGCGCCGATACATGCTACAATGTGATGAACCCTGAAAACACTATACTGAGTCAAAGACGCCAGACACAAAAGAACAAATACTGTGTGATTCCACTGATATGAAATTTCCAGAATAGGTAAACCCAGAGAGACAGAAAGTAGACTGGTGGTCGCCAGGGGCTGGGGGCGGTGAGGAGAGGAATAGGAAGTAACTGCTTAGCAGGTATGGGGTTTTCTTTCGAGGTGCTAGAAATGTTTTATAACTAGATGGAGGTGATGTTTTCTGAGTTGAGTTGAGGCAACAAGACAGTGTCTGCACAAGGCATCAACCTGGTTTTGCAACTCAACTCAAAAGACATCATCTTCAAGGAATGCGTACTAATGTGTGCTTCGGGGTAAAAGTGAGGGGCTGGGGTCTGTGGGAGGAGGGAGACTTTTCACTCTAGACCCTTTGGTCCTATCTGAGGGCATATATACTTTAAAGGTGTACGAATTCCTGTTTTAATTTTAAAAGTATCTTGTTAATAGAAAATATCTTCACTACAATGACGGCTCGTTACTCAGGAAAAACCATGAAACAAGGAAGCTTAGCTGTGCTTCCTGCTGTGGTTCACCTGATGATTACCAGATTGGATTCGGTTTTATTAAAGTTTTTTTTTTAAAAAAAAGGTATGAAACGATGTATTTAAAAAAAAATGTGAAACAGTGTATTTTCAAAGGGTGAAGTTAATTTGGAAAGATTTAAAAACCCCAAAGAACAGCCCAGACTTGGGAAATTCAGGACACTGTGGGCTGGCTCGCCGCCTGAGGTGGAGATGGTTTGACTCCTCACCGCGTTCACAGCACTGAAGGACAATGGTGCCACTTCCGTCTGGGCAATTGTGTTCCTCCTTTTTGCTTCCCATCGCTGTTTTCAGCCAAGACTGACAAAAACCTACTTCTTGGTTTCTCAAAGCCCTTGTGGATTTTTGTTCCCCTTTAGTCCCTGGTTTGGGGGTTTCCGACTGTCCTTTCCCCACCCATCTTTCCAGCAGTCTCCTCCATCACCATGGCCTGGACCACAATCACAGGGCAGGAAGGACAAGGAGCAGCTGCCTCAGCTGTACCGAGGCTCTGGCTCAGGGCTTTCCCATTAACCTGCCTCTCAGGACTGCTGTAATCCCGCCCCGGAGGCAGTGAGGGCACAGTGGGGAGGCCCACGTGGAAACAACAGCTGGCATGTAATGGGCTCTTACTCGATGAAAGATGAGGGTATCAGTGTTTTGGGTGAGAGCAATACGCTGAAGTCGGGTCCATCCCTTCCCCCGTCTGCAGGTGAGAAAGCTGAGGTGGAAATGAATGAATTGGGTCATTCGCTCCCTCAGCACGGATTTACGGAGGGCCAGCTGCATGTGGCAATGAGCTCCCTGCACATCTTCAAGCCCACATGTCTGTGTCCAGAGGCCTTCCAGTAGCTAGGACGCCATCATGTTAGGAGACGAGGCACTTGTCCGCGGTCTACAAGTGAACACCAATGATAACATGTGGACAACTTCCCTGTGTCTCACTCCCTGTCTCCGGGACTCTCGAAGTGGGAGGCCACCACAAGGGACTCTTAGCTTGCTGTTCTTGCACACCAGGCTGTCCCAGCAGTCCTGAAGCGGCCGGGTGAGGACGCTTGAGGGCGTGGCAGAGTGGACAGGGTGCTGCCAGAGCGCTGGACAACAGGTGAGCTGGGCGGGGCTGGGTAAGGGACAAGACTGGTCCACTAACACCCAAACAGTGAACACAGAGGGCAGTTTGCAAAGACTTGAAGATAAAATATGTAGTAAACACATGAGCTCCTTCAATAGCTCAGGAATCACTGTGGGTAGTAACACAGGGTAGAACTTTTTCTCCAAAAACTGGTGTTTGGAGTGACCTGGGAGGACCGTGGGAAATCTCTATGCTCGCTGAGCCTCTGTTTTCTCCTCTGTGAAATGGGAATAGGGTGACTGACGAGATGCAGACTTACCATGTGCCAGTAAGTCTCTATTTGCAAAAACAGGCAGCAGGCTGGATTTGGCCCATGGGCTGTAGTTTGCTGACCTCTGCCTTAGAGTCCCAAGAAAGAACACAAAAGTACAACTGTACAGATGGTACAAAAACCAACACTAAAGCCTGCTCCAGAGGCCTGCCAGGTGTGAATGATGAGAGCAGCTGCTGCGCCCTTGCCCTCGGTACTCTGGTGCCCAGCACAGATGCCAGACACCCAGAAGAGGCTCTGTGAATACGTGCTGACCAGACAGGTAAACGAATGAGTGAGTGAACAAGCGAATGAATGAACAAATAAATGAGTGAGTAAATGAGCAAATGAATGGGTGAACGAATGGATGAACAAATAAATGAGTAAATGAGCAAATGAATGCATGAATAAATGAATGAACAAATAAATGAGTAAATGAGCAAACGAATGGGTGAACGAATGAACAAATAAATGAGTAAATGAGCAAATGAATGCACGAATAAATGAATGAACAAATAAATGAGTAAATGAGCGAATGAATGGGTGAACGAATGGATGAACAAATAACTGAGTGAATGAATGAATGGGTGAATGAACGCACTAGGACACGTGTGAGCACGCCAGAGGGAGCACTAACCAGAATGAAACCACAGAACCCCATCTTCTGCCTAAGGCTAACAGCGAACTAGTAAAGGCCCCTCAGCGGAGGCACGCATTTAGCTCAAGGTCAGAAAAGAAGTTTTCAAGGACAAAACCATGACGCAGCCGTCTCTCCCTCACTGCTCCGACTGCCTCCTGATTCACAGAGAAGTAAACACAAGCATGACCTGGTGCTTAGCATGACACGGAGAGTAAACGCGGCAGACCAGAGCTGACAGAACGATATTCTGATGTTATAAAAAGGGAACTCAAAGAACAGACTCTTAAGCATTCTCAAGGCTGGTAAGAATGGTAAAAGAGCACCATTTCGGGGTCTGATAAATGGTTTGTTTGCCTGATGGTCTGCATGTGAAGACCACACCGGGGCTCAACGGGGAGCAACTGAGGATCAGGCTAACGTCGCCTGACACCATCGTAACACTGCAGGTTTCCTCAGTGCCAACACGGGGACATTCATGCACTCAACACAGATTCACTGAGGGCCCACTCAGTGCCGGCACTGAACTCCTGCGTATCCCTGCTTTTCATCAGCTTTCAGCCCAGGTCACGGTCTTAAGGGCCCTTTGCGAAGAGATGACAGCTAGAAGTGGCAAACACTAGAGGCCGAGCTGACCAGAAGCCCAGGCTGCTCAGTGCAGTGACAGGAGGCTCTGGATCGCCCCCCGCGGCAGACAAAAATCATTACCCTAAAACAGCTCCCCGGACTTGCACAAAGGGAGGCACCGTGGACACCCCACTGCCACAAAGAACTGCGAAATACTGACCACGGGTGGGCTCCCTGAAGGAGCTCATTCTGTAAGTAAATTCCACAAGGGAGAGAGTGCACCGTGAGCTGGATAATTAATTGAATTGAACTTACAAGCCCATCGTAAAGGGAACCAAAGCTGGGTACATATTAGTGCTTTCCGACTCAGTATCTTAGAAGGATGTCCTCACTGGTGTGTCAAAGACACCGAGACAGAAAAATGCCACCCCTGAGGTGATTTGTAACAAAGACGACCTTGGTCATACTTCCAAGTTCAGAATTTTCAGTTCACTGGGGCAGGAAGTAGGTCCCTGGGTGGCACAAACAGTTTGTGCTCGGCTGCTAACTGAAAGGTTAGAGGTTCAAACCCACCCAGTGGCACTGCAGAAGAAAAGCCTGGCAATCTGCTTCTGTAAAGATGATAGCCAAGAAAATCCTATAGAGCAGTGCTACTCTGTAACACGTGGGATCACCAGGAGTCAGAATCGACTGGATGGTGATGGGTTTGGGTTTCTTTTTTTTTGGAAGGGGGGTAGGCAGATCTGGGGGATGTTCCTGCTTTTCTAGAAGCTCAGATATGAAAATAAAGATGGACTCCATGAACTAAGCCGTTAAAAAAACAACACCCAAGCCAATCCAATGTTCTGTGCTTCTTGCTGGACACCAAGTCTCCTTTTGTTCTAACATGGAGTTAAAAGTACGCGGGGAAGGTCAGGCGTATGTTTCCATGATTGCAATGAACCATTTCAGCCTCGTAAGAAGCCCTCATCATGGGGTGAACCTGGGGTCTTAAATGACATTGTGGCATCAGACACACAACCCGTCCCTTCAGTCTCAAAGATGAAGTTCCACTACCTGTTTACTTTTCTTGTACAAAAATGAATAACCAAATGCATCTCCCGCAAATCTGCAGACACCTCCCTCTTACGTCCTCTCACAGGGGGAGAGGTAATGACCCTGCAGAGCCTCCATGAAAAATTGCCATAAAAAAAAAAGGCAGGTAGGATTTATATTGTTTCTAAAGCGGGGGAGAAAGCACAGCTCGCTGTAATGAAGAAAACTGCCAGCACGTAACAGCCTCATGTCTTCAAAAGACTCTACAGGAGTTCTGTTCCCATATCATTACTTCATTGAGACCAAATAGCAAATAGGAACAGCGAGGCTTTACTCCTCAGATGGAGATGATGCGATTGTATAAGGCTGTGAGTAGCATGGCTGGGAAGGCAATGAGTCTGGGAGTGGACGTCCCTGCTGCTGGCTCGGGTCCACGTGTGCCTCCTGCCTGGGACACTGATCCTCCCACCCCCCACCCCTGCCCCCAGCCAGGCCCCAAAACATCAGAGAACAGGGCCCAGGGCCCACAGGGGTTAAGTGACACATGAAGAGAAGACATGCAGTGAATCCAGATATATCAATTGTTGACCCAGAGGGACTGGCTTCAACGGCTTTTTAAAACTTTCTGTTAATATCTGCGTTGGGAGGCAGGCCCACAGGCCAGGAGACAGGATAAACAACCCAAACAGAATTTCCAAGGGGAGACCAGCCTTGGAGACAGAGGGAAAAAAAACAGTTGCCACTGAGTCAATCCTGACTCATGCATGGTGGCCCCATGTGTGTCTGAATAGAACTGTGCTCCACTGGGTTTTCAATGACTGATTTTTTGGCAGTAGATCACCAGGCCTTTCTTCCAAAGCACCTCTGGGTAGACGAGAACTGCCACCCTTTTGGTTAGCAGCAGAGTGGGTTAACCCTTTACACCACCTAGGGGTGGTGACGGAGACCAGTGCTGAAGAGGGTTGGAGCTGGCAGCTCACACTGCTGGTGGGAGCAGGCCGCCCCCCAAAATCAAGACAGTAAGGGCTCTCAGGGGGGTGGCACAAGTAGGGGGTGGTCTCAGGGAATTGGGGTATGCCCAGTCTTGGAGCCCAAATAGGGCTTCCCCGCTGGAGGCTGTCGGTGCACTGGTCCACCGGGAGCTGCCAGCATGTGTCTGCTGGGAGGAACCATTCAGATGTGGGCTTTTCAGGGCCAGGACAGCACATGATAGGGCCATGCCTCCACACACAGCCATGGAAATCCACTCTTCAAAAGTCAGGCAAACTGACTGAGCCCAGCACAACTAGATGGTATCCGGTTACCACCACCGACTGCTCTGGCAGGGATCACAACAGAGGGACAGAATGTGAGAAAAGCATAGAACAAAATTCAAATTCACACACAGACTAAAAAGACCAGGCTTGCTGGTTTGACACAGACTGGAGAAACCCCAAGAGTATGGTCCCTGCACACACTTTTAACTCAGTACTGAAGTCACTCCTGAGGTCCACCCTTCAGCCAAAGATTAGACAGGTCTACAGGGCCAACAATAACACATGGGAGGGATGTGCTTCATAGTTCAATCATGTATACGAGACTAATGGGCACACCAGCCCAAAAGCAAAGGCAAGAAGGCAGGAAGGGACAGGAAAGCTGGACCAATGGAAACAGGGAACCTGGGGTGGAGAAGGGGAGAGGGTTGACACATTGCAGGGTTGGCAACCGATGTCGCAAAACAATTTGTGTATTAACTGTTTAATGAGAAACAAATGCGCTCTGTAAACTCTCACCTAAAGCACAATAAAAATAAATTTTAAAAAGTCAGGCAAACTTCTTCATAGGAAAGCTACTTTCTAAAATCAAAGTCTTACATGCATTCCTTCTCAAGGGGAATAGCCTCTTTGGTGATGACAACTGTTTGGAACGTCAATTCCCTTGTCCTTAGTCCGAGACCTGTGTCCAAATGTGCTTTTCTGTGTAGTGACAGTGACTCAGACACCAGAGTGCCACTCGCTTTGACGTCTTTTCTCAAAATCGAGCCTCAGCCCGTCGCCTGGATTTTCTCAAGCGCTTGTGTCAGCAAAGAGGGGTTTCTCCTTGGTGGAGGGAATGTTGTTAAAAACCCCAGGTGTGGATTCTCTACTCACCCTCTGATGTGGAGGAGGGGGCGGGGGCGTCGGCGAGCCCACCAAGTCCTGGTTTTCCATTACGTTCCCATAATCCGCCGTGCTGCCTTTGAGAGGCAGAGGGGGAGGGACACTGGCCACTTCCATGCCAGTCATTCCGTTCAGCTCCAAACCTGGAAAATCAAAGCGACACCCCGACTGAGCCCAAACGCACACGTGGCAGCCCATGTGTCCCCGGAGAAGGAAGGAATGTTCATCTACGGAGCAGAGAAGAACAGGGTGGGGGTGTCTGGAGAACACAATAGTTGGATTCCCGCCAACAACCATATTCTAGAAAGAGAATACCAAGTATCACCAAGCATCTAAAACTGGAGTTTAAAAAGAAGCATCACTCCATCGCGCCAACAGCCTCGGCAACCCCCAGGTCCCCTATGATCCCCTCTCAGGACCCTTTGCCTCTGTGGCACTTAGACAGCTGGAGGTCCCACTGGCTGCTGCAGGTGCCGTTTCAAAGTCCAGCCTCCCCCGGCGACCACCTGGAAAGCTGCACTGAGCAAACTGGACTAACGTGGACACAATTGCACCTCCCAACCCTCCCTGACCAGGAAGCCCACGGCTGTATGAACTGAAGTTATTAGCGGGGCGGCCGCTGTGGCTGTTGCTGTAAATAAGCCGAGGGGAAGTGCAATGGATTTTTAAAGCATACCAGAAAAGCAGCACTTTTCCAACGGAGGAATACTCATTAAGACACAGTATTTTCTCAACCCTTGTTGAGACTCTTCGAAGTGATTTGTTTTTCTTTTATATTAAAGAGTGAGAAGTTGACATTTTTACTGATGGGTCTCTTCTAGAGCTTTCCCCAAAGACCTGTCTGATGAAAACGCCTTCATTAGGAAAATTCCTGGCTGGGAAGGCAGGGTGTCAATTTAGAAGGAAGCACCGATTTGGGCTGGGGGTGGGGCAAGAAGAAGCTTCTGACTCAACGGGCTCCTCGTGGTTGGTGCCAACTTTTAAGCATTTCAGAGATATTCTAAGGAGCGTTTTTAGCAAAGATCATATGACGATAGCGTAGACATGGAAGATGCACCACAGAGAGACTGTCTCCTTCCCAGCGCTCAGAAAGCTCTGGCTCGCTCAACTGTCAGCCACTGCTGAAGCTGTGACTCAGCGCCAATCACTACCGTGCCCCTGCCAGCAAAGGACAGTTGTTCACTCCCTTTCACAGCCAGCTCCCCGGCCCTGGGCACCGAGTTCTCCTGCCTCTGGCCCCCTTTCTCCAGCCCCAGGACGGAGAGTGGGGAATCCCCCTCTGTTCTGCTGGCACTCTGAATCCCTACCACCTTCTTCTGCCAAGATTTCTCTTCTCTGGCCAGCCCTGAATTTACAGCGAAAAGGCAGTTACCACTTGTAGTGGTTGGATACCAAAATCAAAACTAAACCCATTGCCGTCAAGTTGATTCTGGATCATAGCGACCCTATAGGACAGAGTAGAACTGCCCCGTAGGGTTTCCAAGGAGCGGCTGGTGGATTTGAACTGCTGACATTTGGGTTAGCAGCCGAGCTCTTTAACCACTGCACCACCAGGGCTCCGTGGGTTGAATTCCTGTTGTTGTTATGTGCTGCCGAGTCGGTTCCGACTCACAGCAACTGTCAAATTCGTATCCACCTGGAAGTTCAGAATGTGACCTTATTTGGAAATCGGGTCTTTGTGGATACAACTAGTTAAGGATCTTGAGAAGGTCCTGGATTTATGGTGGGCCCTAAATCCAGTGACTGGGGCCTTATAAGAAGGGAACACAGAAAGACGTAGAGGAGAAGGCCAGGTGCACAGGGACACAGGGACTGGAGAGGTGCCTCTACACGCCAAGGATTGCCATCAACCACCAGAAGCTGGGAGAGTCGCGTGGAAAAGATTCTCCCTCAGACCTGCAGAAGGAACCAACCCTGCCGACGCCTGCATTTTAGACTTCTGCCTCCAGAACTGTGAGAGAATACACTGCGGTTTTTTAAGTGCCCCAGTTCGTGGAGCTTTGCTATGCCAGGCCTCGGAAATAAATGCACCACGGAAACTGGGCAAAACCAGGAAAATAACCGGACCCCTGGCCCGGCAACTCCTCTCCGTCACATCCCTTGTATGTGAAAAGGCGGACTATTCTGTGTGCCCTTCAGGTCTCCTTCCGATGCAGGTTTGAGAGCATGGCCGCACGCCACCCCACTGCCCGGGGAACAGAGAAGCCACAGACGGGCTTTGGCCAGCTTTGCTGAAATGCAGCCCCGACAGCCTGCTCAGAGTGCCTCGCAGTCAGTCAGGTGCTTCTCCAAACCCTCTCCTTTGGCGGCGAGGCAGGAAGCCGTTTTAACTTCAGAGGCTCTAACCAAGGAGGCAGCCACAGAGCCGTGTCAGGAATTTCGAGGGGACGACGTCCTACTTACTGGACTGCAGGCTGAAGCTCAGCTTGGCCCTCGGCGTGACGGGAGGGGGCATCTGCTGCGAGGTCGGTGAAGAGGGAGACACCGAGAAGCGCCGCTCGCCTCCAATGGCGTTGATGACCTGGCTTTTGGGTCTCTGGGGCCGCAGGGGGCTGATCTACACGGGAGGAGCAGAAAGAGCTCAGTAGGGTCTCACCATCATCTCTTTATTTACATGCTCCAGGGCTGGTCTACAGCATCACACGCTCCCTGAACATGGATGAAAAATATTGCTGTGGGCATTCAGATGCCAAGTGACAGTGATGGGGACCCTCCAGAGGCCACGGGCAGAGTCACTGACCGACTCAGCTCCTGTTAACTCCCAGGCACGCTTAGTCTCCTCGTCTTTACTGGCAGGTACGTGAGAGTCAAGGAGCCCTGGGGGCGCAACGGTTAAGCGCTTGGCTTCAAACTGAAAGACGGGCAGTTCAAACCCACCCAGTGGCTCTGCGGAAGAAAGACCTGGTGATCTGCTCGACAGCACCCAACAACAACGTGAGAGTGTAGACACTTGCTGATGGATGTTCTCTATTCATTTCCTTCTCTCCTTCCCTCATGCTACGCTCCAGCTGGCTAGGTGCGCTTTTTCTCCATTTTTCACTACATTTTTCCTGCTCTTCTCTGACTTGGATGCACCTGGCTGCTACCCACCTAAGCCCGTGTTTGTTAAGCCAGGAAGTTTTATTTATATATATCTTACGACTTGGTCTCAGATCATGAGGCCTCGGGGAGCAGGAGCAGTTACAAAATACACCGAAGGAGGAGTAATTAGGAAAGTTACTACGGCAGCTGAGAAGGAAGAGCAACAGTCCCCTCCCAGGAAGGGCCGCAGGAAGGCCGTGCTGTAGCTCGTCCCTGGGCCTGGCCTGTGGGTACACGGGTCTGGGCGGGCAGAGGGCCAGGGGCAGTGGGGTCCTTGCTTGGTAAATGGGCGGCTGAGGGGACACGGGGCCATAGCCAGCAGGGCCACTTCCGGAACTCCTGGAGGCCCAGGCTTCACCCCCTATCTGCAGGAATGGATGAGTTACCACTGGCACGACCACCGTGGGGGGTCTGGAGACACTGAGTCAAGCCCTGGCTATCGGAGGGCAGATGAGCACGTGGGCTCCAGGCAGGGATTCGGGGGTGCTCAGCGTTTCCCCCATCCTCCCCTTCCTGTAAGGGGGAAGGGCACCTTCCAAGTCCAATGGAAGGAGGCAGACTGGGGAGAGGCAAATTGCAGGCTGGAGGCTCCAGCCCTCAGCCAGAGGTCAGGGAATTGTCTATGATGCAAATCAAGTTCTGAAGCGGGACCCAGCCCCAAGGGTGACCAGCAAACCTTTCCCCGAGCTCCAGGAGGCCAGGTGGGAGGGACGCACAATGGCCATCAAGGGCCCAGGGCACTCAGGCTGGGGGACAGTGGAACCAGAGGCCCAACAGCATCTGGGGATGCGAGGGCAAGGTTGAGGAGTACCCTGGCTTCAAGTTATCATTTTACAGCAAATCCAAGAAGCTCCAGCTGAGAGCCCCCCTGGAACTGTGGCACAAAGGTAGGCCCCAGCAGCTGTGCAGTGTGAAGGCCAGTCCCTGCTGACTTACCGTTTCTGACAGAATCACAGCCTCGGACTGCTGCAGGGAGGTGTCGGCTGGCTTGAACTCCTTGTCAAATGTCTCTTGGTGTTTGCTATTCCTTTTTTCTTTCTTCTTATCTTTTTTGTCCTTGTCTGCGTCATCCTTGTCCAGCTTGTCCTGGGACCGGGAGTGCATTTTCTTTGGCAGGAGAGGCTCCAGAACAAACCTGAAGGAAAGGTTCCTTTCAGTCAAGGACATCTTAATATACCAAGCAGGTATATGTATAGAGTGACTCACAATTAATCCACGTGCTGATTGAGCGCAGTTGACTTTTCCAACAAAAGGGATGATTTAAAAAGGCAGGCAGAGGGAGACTTAAGGTACACATTAACCAACTGCAAATGGACTGTGTGGGCCCCAGTCAAAACAAACAGTGTTACCATTACTGAACATTTTGATTAAAGGTTCTATAGAAGAATCCTGATCAAAAGGGAGAAAATGTAGAACAGACTTATAAATTCTCAGGGACTCCAGGCTTTCTGCAGCCACGGAGGCTGGATGAAGCGCTGAAACTACAGCACAGAGATAATCTTTAAACCTTATACCAAAAATATCCCCTGAAGTCTTCTTAAAACCAAACAACAGTTCAGCGTAACAAGGAAAGAATGTCTGCCTTGAGCATTGCGCTCTTTAAGAACTATCTATGTGGGATCAAATTGTCAACAGTAATTTGAAAGATTAGAGAGGAACCTTAGGGGGCAGCGAGTTTATGTTAATCAGGAAGAACGATTTGGAAAAGGAGGGTGAGAACGACTGCACGACTTGAAGACGTCATCAGTGTCGCTGAACTGTACATGTAGAAACTGTTGAATCGGTGTGTGTTCTGCTGTGTATAGTCTCAACAACAACAAAACAAAATTAAATAAAAAAACAGGTAAAAAATACAGCACTTATGGGACAATGGGAGCTCTGGTGGTGCAGTGGTTAAGAGCTTGGCTGCTTACCAGATGACTGGCAGTTCGAATCCACCAGCCACTCGCTGGAAACCCTATGGGGCAGTTCTACTCTGTCCTATAGAGTCGCTATGAGTCAGAATTGACTCGACGGCAACAGGATGGGACGGTGTGGAGTCTGGTGGGACATCTGATGATATTAAGGAATTGTTGATTTACGGGAGGAGGATGGTATTTTGGGTATATATCAAAAAGGGAGTCCTTTTAGAAATTCATATAGAAATATTCACAGACACAATGGGAGAAAGAGGAGGCAGATACCGATGCAAAGAAATTTCGGGTAACCTGGTCCCCACCAAGTTTCTATGGCTAGCTTAAGATTACAGATATAGCAATTGAAAGTTCTGGGTCACTCGATGAAAAGCTGACAGATTCTAGCCGACAGGTACATGGGGATGACCTCAGGTTTCCCACTAAAAACTGAGCTACCAACAGAGGACCTGGGTTCCAGTCTGCCACCTACTGGTCAACCTTGCTATCCACCTCACCACTGGGGGCTTGATGTCCCCATTTATAAAATGAAATCAGGACAACACCTCCCTTCTGTCTACTGACACCAAACGGTTGGTATGAAGACATGTTAATGAGCAGCCTACTGAATAAGTGGATCTTGGGCTAGTTTTAAGGCATGTTTCAAAAGCTTCGTGTGCACATGTGTGAGCACACACATACACACAACTATAACTTGCTATTTTAATGCAAGGTTGGCATGTCCATTTTGTGTCCTGTCCTACTAAGTCATATCTAGAGGGGAAGACATGGGTTGAATTCTAAGATTGGGATCTCATCCCCTGCAGTGGGAAGGACTTAGGAGAGAGGGCCAATGTAGATAAAGGTATGAAAACACCTTGAAAACTTTACAGGGCAATTCACATGTGAGGCTTTATTGGTGTTCCAAAAACCCCACTGTCTTCAAGTGGATTCTGACTCGGCGACCCTATAGGACAAAGTAGAATGGCCCCATAGGGTTTCCAAGGAGTGGCTGGTGGATTCGAACTGCAGACCTTTTAGTGAGCAGCTGAGCTCTTAACTGATTAGGATCTTATACTTTCAAAATATAGGACCTAAAATGGTATTTAAAAAGAGATATGCTCTCTTAAAAGGAGTTACAGTTAGAGAGTCATAAAGGAGAAACAGCCTGTGTTATGATTTCTGGTAATATCATTTAAACCACGGTCTACATGTCTTCTCCGCATGGTCCAGAGAAGCAAAAGAGGAAGGCAAGAGGGTTTTCAGAAGCCCCCTGCCCTCTGGCTGCCCAGCGCACAGGTGGTCCTGGTGCCTGGTGACAGTGGCACAGCTCCAGCCCCTGCCCTTGGGGGCTCCTGGTTCTCATAGGGACCTACCCAGCCTGACTTGCTTGACCACTCGGAGAATAAATCACCTTCTTTAGGGTGAGACTGGTCTCAAGAGAAGGTGACTTAGATAGCCAGCCACATTTTCATCTTAGCTGTGGTTTCTTTTAAACTTATTTCTGAATGGGACAACTGGGGCAAAATCACTGCTGTCACTGAGAAGCCCATTATAGCAACCTTGCTCCCCAATATGGGACACATAACATGGGCATCAGGTCCCTGGGTGGGGCAAGTGGTTTGCACTCGACTACTAACCATAAGAATGGTGGTTCAAACCCACACAGCAGTGCCATGGAAGAAAGGCCTGGTGATCCGTTTCCATAAAGATTACAGCCAAGAAAACCTTATGGAGCTCAGGTCTACTCTGTAGCACACAGGGGTCGCCATGAGTTGGAACTCGCTTGATGGCAACAGGTTTGGTTTTGGTTTTAATATGGACCTCGACATGTGGATAGACGGGAACGTGGAAAGATCATTCTCAAGACTGCTATCAAAATCCATCGAAGATGCAGACTGTGGAGAGCGAGAATCACACCTGCTTGTTCTTTCCCCCGGTATAACACGTGCGCAGGAGGATTTGTTGTGAAGGCACATATACTATGATTTTAAACAGTAAGGGTAGCTCAGCGGTTAAGCACTCGGTTGCTAACTGAGGTTGGAGGTTCAAACTCACCAGCCGCTCCACAGGAGAAAGATGTGGCAATCTGTTTCCATAAAGATTACAGCCTTGGAAACCCTATGGGGCAGTTCTCCTCGGTTGTATAGGGTCATTATGAGTCAGAATCGACTCAGCAGCCATGGCTTGGGTGGGTATCGAATCTAAGCATTGATTATCAATAGCTGCTAATGTCACTAAAAGAGAGACAGTCAGGTGTGATGTGCCCCTTCATGGAAGAACACACTACCACTTATGAAGTCGTCCTGCCCCCAGATCAAACCCGAATCTAATCAAGCCTCTAGATCCAACTACCAACGTGCAGGAAATACAGAGGACAGAGACACTCGCCAAACACCACCAGAGGGGATGCAGTCAGCAAAATCCAGACTGTGGGAAATGCTTCAGGTAAGCAACCTAGGTTTTTCAACCAATAAATTACAAGTACAAGAAGAAAAAAGAAGTGGAAGGGAAATCTATTGATTAAAAGAGCCTTGAAGAGTTCTATCAACCAGTTGCAGGGTGAGGACCTGATTTGGATCTACTTCAAACAAACTGTAGAAAAAATATGACATTTATGACACTATTGGAAATTAATACTACTTCATGATAATTTGCATTTGCTTCAGAACAATATGGGGGACTGAGGGGGTGCAAGACTAGCTAGAAGCTGGTCATTGGTGAAGTGGGCTGATGGGGCATGGGGCCTTACCATATTATTCTGTCCACTTTTGTATACATCCAAAATTTTTCTATAATAACAAGTTCAAAAATTAAAAATGATTGACAAAATATACCAGTATTGGCTTTGATTATGAGGGCATTTTGGGAGGCCTGGACTTTTCTAACAGGATGGATACACATGGAGCATCAAATCAAAATCCCTTAGGCATTAGACATTATATCTATTATATTATAAACAACAGCCAGAGCCTTCATGATTTGATTCTAGGTTTTGCAGAATTTGAGACAATTAACGTAGGCACAAGAGACTTAGCAGGCACCTCTCCGCTCAGAAAGAAGACTTGTCCTGTGGAATCCAGACAAGAATACACAGACCCGAGAGAGACACGTTGAGTTCTAAATTTTTCACCTTATGAGAAGCAACTGCTGAAAGGATGAACTTTATTCTGCATGTAACCTGTGCCATCTGAGACCAAAGCCTCACTTCCTGCACATTAGTTATGTAGCCAATGGTGGTAACCCCAGGAATGAAGAAAAATCTGGACTTGAATAAGTAGGTGCTCTATTAAAGGTTAAACAAACGTCTCCTTGGAGGAAGGTGACCCATGCCTCCTGGAGATTTGGAAAATCGCACTCAAGACTTCTGAATCTCATGTATCAATATTCTCAACACATTATTCCTCTATCTAAAGATTCTACATCAATTTCCACCCTAATGCCTAGGTTCTTGGAAATATAAAAACTCTTGCATAACTAGCCTGGGGACTTTCTTGAGGAGAAGTTGAGTTAAATTTCTCTAGCAATCGCAACCTAAATGACAAACATACGTGATTTCCCAAAAACCAAACCAACACACTGCCACCTCACAAGCGACCCTATAGGACAATGTAGAACTGCCCCGTAGGGTTTCCGAGGCTGTAATCTTTACAGAAGCAGGCAGCCACATCTTTCTTCCACGGCTGGTGGTTCGAACCGCCGACCTTTTGGTTAGCAGCCAAACATGATTTAAATACCTCTAAACTGAGAATTTCCATACAGACATGGCCTTCTAAGCAGCAGGCGCTAACAAAAATTACTGTCAAAGGACTGTAGGCATAGTTTTCAATTTTCCATGGGGCACACCGGTTGTTGGTGACAAAGGGCACTAGGAGTGGCCTTCGGGGAGCTCCATAATTTCACGCCTGCGTGTCGCGGGGGCCAGGAGCGTGAGGGTGGGCTGGGGGATGGACTGGAATCCCAGTGGGAGAGGACAAACACGTAACTCTGCAAACTCTGCAGGGAAACAATGACAAGTTCTTCTCTGATGTTTAAGTTGTATGCGGTATTTTTTTTTTTTTCTTTTTGGATAATACGAATAAATTTTACATGTTCGCCATCCCAAAACACCAAAATATTAATATTGAGGTTTTCTTCTCCACGCTCTGTGTTAACGCAGGAGCCACGGTGAGTGCTCCGCGAACACTAACTAGTCGAACCATTGGGGCCCGTTCTCGGTTGCTTTGTGCTGTCAGCGGCTTAAAAACAAAAACAGAACGGAGAGTGTTGACACGTAGCGGGGTTGGCAACCCATATCACAAAACAATATGTGTATTTACTGTTTAATGAGAAACTAATTTGCTCTGTAAACCTTCATCTAAAGCACAATTCAATAACAAAAAACAACAAACAACCCACCATGCCTCGCCCGGGGTGTGCCTCACCTGGTGGGAGCCCTGGATTGCACTGTGGTGCAACAGAAAGAACTCAGACCCAGGGGTCTACGCACTGAGCTCCTGAACTTGGTCATTGTTGTATCTCCTGTGGGCAGGTCCCTCAATCTTTCTGCATCTCAGTTTGTTCAGCTGAGGGTGTAACCGTACCAGCTCTGCTTGCACCCCAGTGTTGTTTTGAGGATTAGGTGAGACGCTACATGTGAAAAGGTCTTGACATTTAAAAACTTGATAGCCTGTGAGGGATTTTTCAATGCTGTCAACTGTCTCAACCGAATGCCTGAGTTAGAATAAATTTTTTTTCACATATTTGTTAAAGAAACTAAATAAAGGGATTTTGAAAAAAAAAATTTAAAAAAAAGCAAAAAGTGGTGGTCTCACAGAGAGGGGTGGCCCTGCCAGTCCCCATGTATGCTGAACTACAGGTGACAGGCAGGTGGGCAGGTGCAAGTCCTGTGGTGGACCTTGGAGGCCGTGGCACACTCAGATTAAGAAAGCCCTCAGCCCCGGCGTGGCACCACTGGGGTGAGCGTGAGACAGAAAGGGCAAAGCACAAAGCCAGCAAGAAATAAGCCGTGCTTTTTAAAAGACATTTCTAACAGGGGGACGGACCCTTATTGGAGGTTTGAAAATCTGACCACTTCACAGCCACCGGGACGGCTATTATCAGAAAAACGAAAAACCGAAAGTGTTCGTGAGAATGTGGAGAAATTGGAACCCACATCCATGGTTGGTGGGATTGTATAAAAGTGCAGCCTCTATGGAAAACAGTTTGGCAGTTCCTCAAGAAGTTCAACATAGAATTATTGTGCACCGTTGACTCGATTCTGACTCATAACAACCTTACAGGATAAAGTAGAACTGCCCCACAGAGTTTCCTAGGTTGTAAATCTTTACACGAGCAGATCACCAGGTCTTTTCTCCTGGAGGGTGGCTGGTGGGTTTGAACTGCTGACCTTTCTGTTAACAGCCAAGTGCTTAACCATTGCACCACCAGGGCTCCTTAGAATTACCATATGACCTAGCAATTCCACTCTTGGGTATATGCCCAAAAAGACTCGAAAGCAAGGACTCAAACAGATACTTGTATACCAGTGTTCACTGCAGCATTATTCACAAGAGCCCAGAGGTGGAAACAACCCAAGTGTCCATCGCTAGATAAATGGATAAATAAAATGTGGTCTATCCATATAACGGAGTATTATTCAGCCCTAAGGAGAAATGAAGTTCTGATATAAGCTACGGCATGGATAAACCTTGAAAATATTATGCTCAGTGAAATAAGTTAGACACAGAAGAACAAATATCGTGTGATCCCACTTATAGGAAAATATCTAGAATAGATAAATGCATAAAACAGAAAAAAAACCAAAACCCATTGCTGTTGAGTCAATTTCGACTCACTGCAACCCAACAGGACATAGTAGAACTCTCCCATAGGATTTCCAAGCAGTGGCTGGTGGATTTGAACAGCCAACCTTTTGGTTAGCAGCTGTAACTCTTAACCACTGTGCCACCAAGGCAAAGAAATTAAAATTTATTAGTGGTTACCGGGGGCTGGAGGCGGGGTGCTTACAGCTAAAGGGGGACTGTTTCTGTTTGAGGTGATGAAAACTTTTGGAAATAGATAGTGGTTATGGCTGCACAACACAGTGACTGTAATTAATGTTACCTACTTGTGCACTTAAGAATGGTTAAAATAGTAAATTTTATGTCCTATGTATTTTACTACAATAATGTTTTTTATTATGGAAGCCTTACTTAACGTGGTACCCAAAGTGAGAACTTTTTTCTCACAAAGACCCCGAAAGTAACACTGGGCACCAGGGTGGTAATGTTTTGGAGGGTCTCAGTCTCAAAGATAACTTCGATTTAAAAAATCCTCTCAGTTTTGATAAAACAAACGCAGGGCGCTGGGTGGCTCCTCTCAGGACCCTCTAAGCCCCCTCCCTTACTGTCCCCCTGTGATAAGCCCGACTCACCCGTCAGAGCCCGGCCTGGAAGGAGTGCTGTCCGACGACAAGGAGGAGACGGAGGTCACCGACAGGGGCCGGGAGGACGAGGGCATCGTGAAGGAGCGGACCATGGACCGGGGTCGGCTGCCTCTTCTGTCGTCCAGACTTGAAGGCTAGGAGAGAGAGAGGGAGAGAGAGAGGGAGACAGTGAGCGACAGACAGAGAGGGAGATAGACAGTGAGAGAGTGAGACAGAGACAGAGAGGGAGAGAGAGAGAGAGGGAAAGAGATAAGAAGAGACAGAGAGAGAAAGAGGGAGAGAGAGAGAGAGAGAGATAAGAAGAGACAGAGAGAGAGAGAAAGAGGGAGGGAGAGACCGACAGACATTCTGAATGAGACAGAGACAGAGACAGAGGCTTGTTGAACGCCTCAGCCAGAAGACTTCCAGCCGACGCCATCACTCTCGAAACTGCTTGGTCTCAGCAGCTGTGATCTCGGTCACAGTTGTTCCCACTTTCATGAACGGTGCATGTTCTTGTTCAGAGTGGAAGACAAACATGGTGAGTGCTCCGGGCTCTTCTGAAACCTGACGCAGCATCGTGGCAAACCACAGAAACAATCTTCTCGGTCTTTTTTATTTTAATGCCATTTACTTTACCAAGACCACAATGTATGAACCTGTTCCAAAATCACGGTGGAATGTGTTGCCCAGAAAATCTAATTTATAGAGTACCGTCTAGAATGTGATTTAAAGAATCTGCAAGACCTTTACTTGGACTTGCTACAGCTCTGCGTGTTGACAAATTGTGCAGATCACCGACACACGTGGATCTGTAACGACTGAACTTCTCTAGACTCAAACAAGATGCTCCTGCCATTCGATTAAAGGTGGACTTTCTTCCTGGGTAAGCCCCCGCTCCAATGGATTAACGGAGCCACAGAATGGCTAAAGCCCCTCATCCTTGCTAGGTGGTGAACTAGTGATGCATTCTGGAGAAAAATGGGCTCTCCACTGGAATTTTCCACCCTCAGTTTGACATATGATTGTACGTTACCAAAGCTAGTGTCACTGAAATACAGCACATGTCAACATCTAATTAGCTAGAAAAGGCTGGTGTACCTGCATCCTGAGCCAGATGTTGGCACATCTGGGGAAGCAGCTGCTGCAGAAGCTCCCGCCTTTATCCCGAGGCTGTGAACACTCAGTTCCTACAGGGCACTTCCTCTCCACGTGGCTTCGACCCCCCACCTCCCGCAGCCAACGCTGGCGTCTCATTCCACCAGTCACCTATGGAAGAACTGCTGGGACCCCTAGTTCCAGCCTTCAGAGGTAAGAGGTGGTTGATTCCAGATTATAACGCCACCTCTACATCTCAGAAGTGGGCCTGTTTCTTAAATACGTGTTTCCCAAGTGAAATACTATCTGATTTGTAAACTGTCTAATTAATAGTAAAAAGTTCAAAATGGCAAAATGAGAGCTGAAAGCTGGAGTCAGCAAATTTTATCTGTGAAGGGCCAGATAGTAAGTAATTTAGGCTTGCAACCCATGTGGTCTCTGTTACAACTTCTCAACCTGCTGTTACAGCATGAAGGCAGCCATAGCAATGCATCAATGAATGAACACGGCTGTGTTCCAATAAAGCTTTACTGGTAAAACAGGAAGTGGGCCATAGTTTGCCAACCACCGGTTTGAAGCAATATGCACTGGAATTTGCCAGCACAGAGGGTGTGGTCAGTCTTGGACTTAGCACCAAAGATGGCGCCATTTGGTATCTCCATGGAGATCTTCCATTGCAATTAATCAGCCTTTACGAAGAAACTAGAAGGGAAATGGTTACTTGCAGATCAGCTCAAATTGTGAGAACTTTTCCCACACAACATCTAAAGACTCAGAGTCTGCAGCGTCCCCTTTCAGCCTTTCTGAAACACAACCCAAGTCCTCGCTGCCCCTGACCATTCCAAGGGAGAGTTCATTCAGCTACTCTAGGCCCCCTACCAAGGCAGAACCACCCTGCCCAGCTGCCTCAGCCAGTGCTCTCTCCACCTCTCTGTGGGGTCTTTGGCCTTCTTTACACTTTGAATGAGACCTGTCAACTCCATCTTTTGAAATTCATGCTGACCCCTGCCATTTGGCTCTGAAGACAGGCTCAGAGGTGGGGAATTGGCTTTGTGGAAGCCAGAGAGCTCCCTTTCTAAACATCCACCTACTCAAGCCTTCCAACCTACCCATCTGGTGAGGGGCAGCCTTCCCACCTTGACCCTGTGGCCACCTCTGGCTTGACTTCCAGAGTGCTCTCGGGATACAGGTAGGGCAGGGGCAGAAGGGGAAGCAGCCAGCAACCTCAGCTCAGGTAATTTGTGTAGCATGAAACATGCTGCCTTTCTAGTCTACCACCTGCTGGGCAGGAGGAGAGGATGAGCATACACCTGAGAGGACACTTGACTTGTCCAACATGTGGGTGGGCCACCAGGCCCTTCACGGTGGCCCTGATACTGGGAGCCCCATTCCTGACAGCTTCTAGCATGAGTTTCCATTTTTCTGTGATGAAATGATCTTCACAGCAGCCTTGGGGACGTAGGCATTGAGTGCGTGGGCACATAGTAGGAGCCAGGCCATAGCCGTTGGCCATGGACTAGGGGATAGTGACGTCCAACGAACGTGACCTTACTCTGACTCCTGGGGGGGCCCCGGAGAGCAGCCCCTGCGTCTCTTACCATCAACCACAAGGGGCCGGTGATGCCCCTTGGAGGATGACCTGAGTGTGGACAGGGATGAGTAAGAGAAGGCGCAGGGCAGGAACAGGGGCCTGGACACAGCCTGGGGTCCCACATTTGCTGAGCACTCACTGGGCGTGGCCGTGGGCCATTTGCCTCACAGCTCCTGGATTAAACAGAGCCTCCAGAAACCCAGGAATCAGGACTTTTGTTTTTTTAACCTATAGCAGCTCTGGTCTCACCCAGCACCGACATGTGTAGCTCAAGCCCCAGGGTACAGCGAGGTAAGGAGTGGGGGTATTAGAACCAGGTAGGAGTGTGGCACAGGTGGCCGTGCGCACAGCTGAGCCCCGGCTTCCTTCTCACCCCCACCCCAGGGGCTGGAGCCAGGTGTAGAGGAGGGGAAGCAGGGAAGGTCCCCAGGGCTTGGCACACCCCAGGGACTGGAGCCAGGTATAGAGGAGGGAAGGCAGGGAAGGTCCCCAGGGCTCCCCCCACCCCAGGGGCTGGAGCCAGGTGTAGAGGAGGGAAAGCAGGGAAGGCCCCCAGGCTCCCCCCACCCCAGGGGCTGGAGCCAGGTGTAGAGGAGGGGAGGCAGGGAAGGTCCCCAGGGCTCCCCCCACGCCAGGGGCTGGAGCCAGCTGTAGAAGAGGGGAGGCAGGGAAGGCCCCAGGGCTCCCCACACCCCAGGGGCTGGGGCCAGGTGTAGGGGAAAGGAGGCAGGGAAGGCCGCCAGGGCTTGGCACATCCCAGGGGCTGGAGCCAGGTGTAGAGGAGGGGAGGCAGGGAAGGCCCCCGGGCTCCCCCCACCCCAGGGGCTGGAGCAGGTGTAGAGGAGGGGAGGCAGGGAAGGCCCCCAGGGCTCGGCACACCTGAATGGCCTTCCTGCCCTGACTGTTGTTATTACGGCCTGGGACAGAGACTCATCTCAGCTCCCACTGACAGCAACCCCAGCCCTGGCAATGGCTCTAAGGGCTGTGTGTCACTGCCCCCCACCCTGACCCACCCATGAGCCAGGGACAGGGAGGTGGCTGGCGGAAATTAGTTACCGGGGACTAGGTCTTTAAGGGGAAGGGTGAGGAGCAGGTACACTTCCTGGTTTTCTCCTAGCGTTCCTTGCCAGGTGCTATGGAAATACCAAGTCTGGGCTGGAAACCCAAGGACAGCGCCAGGCTGCCCCCCACGACTGGCGTAGGGGGCGCACGGGGTGGTGGGTGTGCGGCAGGGCGAGCAGGAGAGACAAGCAGGGGGATGGCAGGAGAGAAGCTGTGCACTGCGCTGGGGAGCCTGGACTCCAGCCCTTAGCGGCAGTAGAGGGGTTGGGGGGAGGGGCAGTAGGGCTTGCACCCTCAGGGTGGTCAGCTGTGCTTCACAGCAGAGCTAGGGCACCCAAGGGCCCTTGTAAACCATGGGACACCTGTTCCCCTCTCCCCAGGGAGATGGGCCATTGAATTCCAGCAGGAAAAAGCTGAGTGCACCCCACTGAGTCAGGGGCATCTGCCTACCTCCCAATCAACATCCCCTCCCAGCAGCCTGTGAGGACCCCAGGGCCCCACAGATCACCCAGTGTGAAAACCGCTGGAACCCGGGTCCCGCTAGTCCCTATGGAGGGAGGCCTGGAGAATGGAGGCAGGGCAGGTACAGGCCTGCTGCCATGGCAGCGATGGCTGCCTGTGAGGGTGAGCCCAGCGCTTGAGGGGGGACTGGTGGCAGGGAGCAGGTACAGACCTGCTGTGATGGCTGCCTGTGGGGGTGAGCCCAGCGCTGGAGGGAAGACTGAGGCCACCGCTGGTGTGCAGGATGAAGGGTGCCCCTGGGGTTCTGCTCCAGGGGGCCAGCAGATGGCCTGATATTGGCCAGGGCAGGTGGAGAAGGAAGACAGAGTGTTCTCCTATGTGTGTATTGGGTTGTGGAGGTGAAGAGTCCTCCCGGAGGAGTTAGCTAGGTGCAGTTTAAGAGAAGGCTCTGGACTTGGAGAGAGCCCTGCGCGCAGTGCACGGATCTGGAGCTCACGGGTGGATTATAGGCACGAGATGGCCCAAGCAGAGAGGACAGAACCCGGCACGGAGCCCACGATCCTATCCCGATTGAGTACGTGGCGCAGTCGACGAGAAACAGAGCTTTTCAGGAGCATGAAGACAAACTCGAGCCCCTCCTGTGCCTCTGGACCAGGACAGGAATCAGGGACAGTGCTGAACAAGGCTGGCACTCGAGGTGTCTCCCCAGGGTCGCCTTTCCTCATTCCCCAGGATCCAGAGAAGCTGGACTCAGCTCTCAGCCAGGGGCCAATGGAACCGGCTGTGCATTACAAGTCACAGAGCGTCCTCTTCTCCTTCAAGGGCTCAGGCTGGCTCAGAAAAGTGACAGCATGGTTTACGTCCTTTCTATGGGGCTTTTATTTTTAAATCCAATCCTTCTGAAACAGGATGGTACTATACTGCTTTTCAAAGTATTCTGAGATGCCTGCAGTTTTCCAAAGTAGAAAAGATAGGGAGGCTTGTCCCAGCTGCAATGCTCAGTGTGACAGGACAGCTGCCTGTCCCCCTTCCCTGCCCAAATGGAGTCTGGGCACAGCGCCTGCCTGTGGGGTCCTAGGGTGGAGGCCTCAGGAGGCAGCTTGAGGGAGCAAAGCTCCGAAACGTGGGAAATCCACCCTGAATTCTGCTCCCGGTCGCCCTCACATTAAGCCTGACCCACCATACCTGAGGTGCCCTGGCTGCCCCCACAGAAAAGGGAGGGAAGTTTGGTGGAAGTGACCTTGGCTCACTTCTTGCCAGCCAAGCACAGCTGCCTCGAAGCAGAAGACACCTGTGGCTGGGTAGGGGAGATACCTCCGCTACCCACACAGGCGCTGCCTTGCCATCTTTGCTCTCTTTCGCCCCCAGCGCCCAACAGCAGGCACGCCGGAAGTCATGAAGGACAGCGGAGGAAAAGATAAGGGATATTTGGTGAGCAGGCCAGGCTTCTGCGATTTGGAAATACATATTAAATGAATGATAAAAGAGGAAGCCTTTCACTTAGTAAGAAAACTTGCAGAGTTCACAAGTGTTTATTTCTTAGAAAGAATTAAAGGTGGCGTCAAACTTTGAAAATGACTATGATGTACTCTTCCGGGCACTTAACTCTGATTGCAACGAGCTGCGAGCTTGGAAGCTCTCAAGCACTGCTCGAGGGTTCTGACTTGTACTAAGGGCCCTCCAACGGGGCCGGCAGGAGGGCGCCCTGATTGCAAGCCTGTTCACCTGTGGCAGCTCCCTCCCGCCTGCTGAGGGTTCACAGCGCCGAAGGTGTGTGTCCTGCGAGTCCAGGACCAACAACACCCTCACTGATGAGCACCAGGCCCTGGGCTGGAGCCACAAACACTGTCATCACCAAGGGAACCACTGCCGGGAGGGCCCCCGTGGTCTCGTGTGCGTCTCCAGCCCTGTGGACCAGCGTAGGAAAAGCTAGCCTGTGTAAATGTGCAGAGCCGTGGCCTGAAGCCCAGGCTCTGGAGGTGGTACCTGGGAATGGGACCTCGTTTGGAAATACAGACTCTGCAGATGTAGTCAAGCCCAGGCTCTCTAAATGAGATCTTCCTGAATTTAGGGCGGGCCTACATCCAATGACTGGTGTCATTGTAAGAGAAAGCAGAGAGAGATTTGAGACACGGAAGAAAAGAAGGCCACGTGAAGACGGAGGCAGACATTGGAGTGATGCTGCCCCAAGTCAAGGAACCTTGAAGCCACCAGAAGTTGGACGGGGTAAGGAAGGATTCTTTCCTGGTGTCTTCAGATGGAACTAGGCCCTGGAGACACTTAATTTTGGACTTCTGGCCTCCAGAACAGTGAGAGAATAGACTTTTGTGGTTTTAAGCCACCCAGTTTGTGGTAACCTGTTACGGAAGCCTTAGGAAACCAGTACTGTGTCTATCCAAACTCCTCCCCAATGAGTTCCCTCCTGTCCAAGGCACCGGCCTCTGCCACCGTTCATTTCCTGCCTCCAAGCCTTCGCTCGAGTTGGTCCTTTTCCAGGCAAAGCCCTCCCGATCTCCTTCCCTGACCTTGTCTGACGTACCTTTCTCCAATAGTTAAGTCTCCGCAAACAATTTCCAACCACAGTAACCCATCGCTCCCTCCCCTCAATGGCTACAGTCTTGATGCTGGACCGGGCACCAGCTCTGCCTCTGCCTGGGGTCATCCTGAGTGCTGTTGCCCCATCTGTCACTTAGCCCTTGGTATTTGTTGTGTGACGGTGGGTGTGCTTTTTATAAAGTAGCCCACGAGTTGCTGGGACTCTGAGATTTCTCCATTCCTCCACAGTAAGTAAGCGGGGCATTTGGTGATCACGCAAAGTTATGTTTTTTCATTCTGATATTTCCAATTATTGAAAGCAGGCTGCTGGTTTGCTAGGGGATAGACTGACTAAGGGGACCGGGTTGCTTAAATCCACCACTTCTAAGCAGGCATCCTGGTCATATCTTATTACTCTGCTCTGTGAGCCTGGTACAGTCAAAAGACATGATCCACAAATCCCCCTTCCTCTACAAAACCACCCACTTACCATGGTCCGGACGCCATATTGCTTTTCCACTTTTTCCTTCAGCTGTTTGAAGCAGGCTTCCATTCTCTCATGAAATGGCCTCAGTGCTTCCGTGACCTTGTCACCATGAATCCGGATCCCTTCCGCCAAAAATGGAATCTGGAAAGCATGGAGGTTGACATTCCTTACTTCTTGGTTAATGGTCTGGGGAGAGGAGGGCACGCCTGGGGCCGAGGGGCACTGGGCACAATACATCTGCTGTGTTTCCAACTCCAACAGGCGGGTAAATTCATCCGCAGGCACAGCACCCCCAAGACCAAGGTGTTTACATTAAAATCATTTGTGTTAAACTGGTTATGTCCAGGTCAGGGTTCAGTACTCCAAAGCCAACCAATGACTTTCCTGACTCATGAATGTCGATCACGCCCAGAATGGACTTATCTGTGTTTTCCATTGGAGTTTGGGAAGAACTGCATTTTGGATTTGTTTAGATGTAACTTGTTCTCTTAGCAAAGGGTCATGTCAGAGAGTAAAGATATTTTTAGCTAAGAATGTTGCCTTTACAGGCAATTGAGAGCCCATACTCTAAAATGGAAAAATCTAATTCCATGTGATCTATCGTCCTGAAGGATATTCTTATTTGGAAAGGAAAACCAAATTTATTCTTCCTTAAAACTAAAAATAATCACTTCTCTGCTGACTCTGCTGTCACAAAACATCCATGCCAACACTTCCCTTCCAAGTGAGGAGACGTAGGTGACCTTTAAAAGCGTGGAAGAGAGACATTTTCAGAGGCGCTGCTGATGGGGGTGTTAATGGGATGGGGGAAGAAGGCTCCCCCTCTCTCTGGTTTCTGCTTCCCCTCATAATGCTGGGACTAGAAGTTAGAGTCTTCAAGGCAATCAAGTTAAGAGACTTCCTCTTAATAATTTATAATTAAATCAAAATACTGATTAACAACAGATTTCCCTAGTATGACAGAACACTAATCTAAATGAACAAATTTATTAGTAAGGAGGAGAATAAGTACACAACTGAGTTTCATGTGAACCAATTCAAGCCGTCTTATCAAGATGAATCAACGCATAAAATGTACTTGGTTGCCATTTATAGCGTGCAGCTGGTGCCTCTCATGGGGCTCCAGGAAAGGATGGATCAGCGCTGTGCTCCCCCATGGTCCCCCTGTCGTCCCTCTCCCAGCCTGCTCTCAAACTGCACCGACACTAACATTGGTTTTGCCAAACAGTTGGGCCTACACCCAAGGTAGGCACCATTTATTCCTGTCCCCAGTTATCCCTTTTGCCAACAGGACGGTGTGCAGGTGAGATTTCAAAATGGATGGAACATTTTAATATTCCAAATGAATTCCAAGTGCAGATGGCCATTCCCCGGGGCAAGCCGCACTGTCTGCGGGGCCAGCAGTGGAGCAGGCTTGCTGCAATCCTTCTGCTTCCTGGGTGCTGCCTTGGGCGAAGGCAATGCAGGCTGGAGAACTTTCGGTGGGATGGTAAATCCATTGTGTCCATCGGGTGAGAAGGCAGGGAGTGTGGGAAGGCGGCCCAGTGTTCAAGCACGGCCAACCTGGAGGCTTAAAGCATTTTTGTTTGTTTTGTACTTAAATCTTCATGAACTATTTGATTAACTCAAAAATGTAATACTATTTTATTATGTTTCTCAAATTTTTAAAATTGTGGTACAAACATATATAATGAAACAACTGCAAATTGCACCCATTTTCACGTGTCTACTTTAGCGACATGGATTACAGTCTTCATGTTGTGCAGCCATTCTCACTATTCTTAAAGCGTTTCTGACTCAGAACAGACCTTTCTCAAATGCGCAAAACGCAGTCTAAACATTTCTGCATTTTTTGGTGAGCACGATAAAACTCTTAATTGGCTGGATTCTTCGCATCAAAGAAGCTACCTGCTGGAAAGAAGACCATTTGGCTTAGGTTACAAAAACAGCATGAACTGTAATTTGGCAGGTGAAACTTACACGGTGTGAGAATGCACACCCCTCCCCCGCAACAGGTCTCTGACATCATAGGGACAGGATCTGTCCCCCTGTTCTATGTCTATCTGGGCTTGAACTGCAGCTGTGATTATAAATTAAAGAAAAGAAAAAGATGCTTTGGGTAAACACACTCCCGTTTATGAGATGCTTAATACACAAATAATTTCCCTAGGAGGCACAAGCTGGATTCAGAAGAGGACGTTGAACCAGGGATGTCACTGCTGATGTCAGATGGATTCTGGCTGAAAGCAGAGAATACCAGAAAGATATTTACCTGTGTTTTACTGACTATGCAAAGGTATTCGACTGTGTGGATCATAACAAATTACGGATGACATTACCAATTCAGAACACTTAACTGTGCTTTTGAGGAACCTGTAAGTAAACCAAGAGGCAGCCATTTGAACAGAACAAGGGGATACTGCGTGGTTTAAAGTCAGGAAAGGCGTGCGTCAGGGTTGTATACATTCATCATATTTATTCCATCTGTATGCTGAGCAAATAATCCGACAAACTGGATTATATGAAGAAGAACTCGCCATCAGGATTGGAGGAAGACTCATTAACAACCTGCAATATGCCCATGACACAACCTTGCTTGCTGAAAGTGAAGAGGACTTGAAGCACCCACTGATGAAGATCAAAGACCACAGCCTTCAGTATGGATGACACCTCAACATAAAGAAAACAAAAGTCCTCACAACTGGACCAACAAGCAACATCATGATAAACAGAGAAAAAATTGAAGTTGTCAAGGATTTCATTTTACTTGGACCCACAATCAAGGCCCATGGAAGTAGGAGTCAAGCAATTAAAAGACGCATTGCATTGGGCAAATCTGCTGCAAAAGACCTCTTTAAAGTGTTAAAAAGCAAAGAAGTCTTTTTTTTTTTTTTTTTTATATTTTATTGTACTTCAGGTGAAGGCTTACAGAACAAATAGTTTCTCATGTAACAGTAGCACACATGCTGTTTTATGACATTGGTTAAC